CATTTAAAACAATATCATAGACTATAATCACAAATTATTAAATTTGTTTCACAGTACTGACTTTACACCAGTGTCAATGAAAGTTACTCTGTATATTCTAGTCTAGCAAGATGTAGTTTGTCAGGTAAGTTTTTGAAGAATTTCTATATAATAAGAGATCTCTTTTTACATTTGTTACTTTTCTCAACAGTATTTTTAAAAAGTATAAGAAATATTAATATACTGGAAATTGTATACATTCATATATACTGTATCACAAATTTAGATTATAGAAATTCTGTTCTCTAATTTATACACTAAGTGTAGAAAAATTTTAAATTCACATCTCTACAAACGAAATCCTTTGAATGAAATTTTATTGTGTAACTTTTAGTAATTTCACTAAGTCTGGTACTCTGTAATGCCACCATTAAGATATTAACATCAAATAATGAGAGAATGCTGTAGAGAAACTATTATCATTGTTTCATTGAGTCAAAGAGTTTTAAACGATTCTGTTTGGAAGTTAAATGTAAGCTAATAATCCTTATCACAATGTAAATTTAAAACACCAATATTAGACTTTATCAACAGAAACATCTTTTATGATATCATCTTTACTGATATTTTGGTTCATTTGATCATTTTCATATTCCACAAAATCATCAAATAAACTTGGCCATGCTTCTGCATCATCATAGGCACCAAGATCATCACCAATGCTTTCAGCAAAATTCAAAAACATGTTCCATGTATCCCTAGGTATGCCTCTAACGTGATGGCACTCAAGAAATTTCAACCATCTTGATAAGAGCGGTGGTTCACGTAAAGTAAAAACAAGTTTCCATAGAACAATTGCCATGTCAGCTGGTAGTATTCTTTGACCGGAATTAACATCTAAACCAAATCGGAACGTAAATCGATAGAGATCTTTGAATAAATCACTATTTACAGACAAGTCTTGAACAATTTCTGGTAATCTTGCTTGTATACCACGTATACTGTCTACTTTCATTGCTTTTAAACCTGTCACAAACTCTTGACGTGTAAATTGGCACATCTGTTCAGCATTTAATTTCCAAGCAAGAACAAGTACTTGAAATTCGTCTGGGGACAGTTGTAAATCATTGCAAAGTCTTTCTATACCATCTGCTAAGATTACATCTTCATGTGGATCCTATCAATAAAAAGAATTATGTTTCAAAGAAATACTTTGAATTGACAGTAAAAATTTAGTATTAAGCGTGTAATCAATATTGGCATGCTACATATCAGTAGTGTAAAATATAACAGTGTAACTAAATAGTAATATTTGATTATACAACAAATAAAAGCCCTATTGATGTTTAAAATGTTGGTATATGGGGAAAATCAATATATTACAATGTTAATTAATGGAGAAAAGTTGAAATCTATAGTTAAAATTTACCTTATATTGGTCGAATAAAGCATTTAACTTGTTCTCTGATTCTCTTTGCTGTTTTGATTCAATTGTCACATTTAATCCAGACGATTGTCCAGATTTACCCAATGGCGGTAGACGCGTATAAAATCCTCTTGACAAACGTAAATTATTTTGTACACTAGGCACAGATCCACAATTATCAGACCCTACATTATTGAATGTTGATAACGTAGTGATTGATTTTCTGTTTCCATTTATATGTGGTTCAGGCACTAAGGGCCCAGTTTGTTGGCAAGAATTTGGGAACAAGCCCCTAAGTTCCATTGTTTCTACAACCATTGTTAATAATTTATATGAAATTTCATTTAAAACAAATGGAAATTTAATGAATAATATGAACCAGTAAAACACGATTCCCATGCTTCCATCAAGTTATGTAAATACTCCATGTTGCTCATATAGACATATATCTAAATAAATCATATACCAAAAAAGTATATAAGTAATAGATATAGATGGTTACCGTCTTTTTGTTCCAATGACAAAGATTGATCAGTGGTGGCTGGTGGAAAAGGCACCTTAAAGCATGAAAAACAGTTTCCCATTGATGCTGTCCGTACTTAACATCAAAGACAAGTATCCTACGCATCAGTAGTTCAGTCTTACATTGGCAGTCTTGATCAAAATCTGTGCAATAAGATATTATAGTATAAATATAATATTATCAATACAAATGCTAAGAATAATAACAGTGGTATAACAAAATTGAGCAGTTTCTTATATACATGCAATAAATAAAAATCATCAAAAGAAAAGTTTAAAATTATAGTATATTTTTTAAAATGATATTTTAAAATGTGAATATATATATTATTGAATGAACATATTTGTTAAATAAATAGTTTACCTTACTGTTAAGGAGGACTTTCGGTCTACCTGGGTCACGATAACCCCAGTAAGGACCCCCCGCAAGATATCTTGCTGTGACCACATTTATAAATTCTCATTTATCGGAAATATTCAAACAAATTCGCCACAATTGGAGCTACCAAGATGCGTCAATTCCAGCTGTTTCAAGCATCTGTTTCACAAAAATCCCAAAGCTGAATTGTATTCGATCAAATGCTACTGTCATTTGTAACAACGTAACCTCACAAAATAATACAACGATATGCGCTATCGCTGTACGAACAAAGAATCTTCTCGTCTCAATTTGTACGGTATCGAAACATTTTGTATCGAAACAGAATACAAAATTGACGCATAAAAATACAGTAATAAATATTCTTCGTGTTTCAATACATAATAAAAAAAGTACCTTTGTAGCAAAGTAACAACGATACCTTTTTCGTAAAATTCAGTATAGATATACCATAAAAACAGTAATCATTAGTGACGACGCATATGTCATAAAAATAACATATTTTCAAAGTGAAGAGAAAGCATTTGATAATGTCTTAATTCACATTTTTTATCATTGTAAACGTAATAACGAATATTTAGCATTGTTTTTTCAATACCGTGCAAGATTTTATCACGTTAAAACTGGAAACGTCATTTCTAAATGTCCAATTTTGCGCGTAGTTGGAAGTGTTTCTATGAACACGTTGTTATTAATTTACACATGTTGTAAAGTCTATATAACTATTTACATCCTGTAAATAATACAAGATATACAATAAATTTGCGCTAAAAAGAGAAATACATTTTACGTTTAATTATCGAATTCATTTATGTGCACGGTACATGAGGAATATTTTTTCATGGCGTTAATCGCAATTGTAAGAAAAAATTATGAAACTTAAACATTTTTCCCAGTAAACTTAATAGGCAAGTATTTAACTACAATCGTGTGTAACATTTAGTATGTAACGTTAACTTTATTGTTTTTCTATGAAAATAAAAAGATTTTTAGGAAAGAAATTTCGATTATAAAAAGATAAGTCTTTAATGGTATATTACGCATTATTATGCAACTAATAAATATTTCTGAATAAATTACAATCGTGTGCACACGTCTATCTGCATGTGTGTGTATTCTTATTTATTATCATAAGCATATTTAAGTATATATATTTCAGTAAACGTGTGGGTGATATACTCTAATAAAAATGCCTGAATTACCGCGTATAACAAGATCATTGCGAATGTTTACAAATCTTGGACGTATAAAAAGTATAACAAACTTAGAACCAAATGATTTACTTAGAAAAGAGGATGAACAGATAACTAAAACAAAAAGGTATGTTACAATGAATATTTTGAACATCTTTTCTATATATTATATTTATAATATGATAAACATTTCTTTCACGTAAAATACAGTGAACTAAGTTGGAATGATTTAAACAACTTTTTGCCGAAAGATGTCTTGCATCATATTAAAGAGTTACGTCAAATTGTTACAAAAATATTTGGTACGTGTTAATTTATTGCAATATAAATTGAAATACTGTTACTAATTTGTCTGTTATTTTAGATGAATGTTCAGCTGAACTCATACATGATTTTGTTATGTTTGCTTTGCACTTACTAATCGATGAGAAATTAATAACACAAAAGAAATTTGAGATCTTGAAGGGAAGAGCAGGAAACTTAACACACCAGGATGTTAATAAAATGATGAATGTAAGCATTTTGTGGATCTTGTATTTTTAATACAGTTTTTATGGATAATACTTTCAATCCTTTCAGTTTTTAATCCTTTGGATTATATGACAGCTGGTAGAATTTTACTTTAAATATTATGAACTATTACATTTATTGTAGACAATATCCGTGATTAGAGAAAATTTGAATGAGGATGCTTTGATGCTATTGAGATATGGAAGAGAAAGCGGTAACAATACAGAGGTATCTGAAAACATTTTATTCGGTACTAAAATTGATTATAAACCTGCAAAAGCATTATGGCCAAACACCGAAACACTTCGCGATATGTCTTTAGAAAATACAAATCAAACTACAAATAATTTTACAATGAAATATAGGAATGATACTGTAAAACTATACAAAACTGAAGTGGGTATTAAATTGTTTTAACACAATAATTTTTAGAAGTTTTAATATTTCATGAATCATATACATATGTTCCAGTTTGATGAAAAGACATACAAGCAAGGTTTGAAATTATGTTATAGAAAGAGCTCTGTTAATATGAGTTTCGAGGATTTTGCCAAGATAATAAGCTCTAAATTGAGAAATGTGGAAAATATGGAAAACGAGTTACTTGACTTTCTAGGTTATGAAGAAATAGAGTTCATACAGTATATTATAGAACATCAAAAAAGTATTATAGCTCTAACTCAAAGCCTTGGTCTTCATCTTGTTCCTAAGGTACAAAAGCAATGTGATCCAGAGAGACCACTAATTAGTGGTCAAGTAACTGTGCAGTCTGAAAAAGAGAAGCATTTATGGAAGCAAGTACGAAAAGAAGAAAAGAAATTAAATAAGATATCAAATAAACGGGAAGGAAATGACTTGGAATCGCAGGATCTATATTTTAAGAAACAAAAGGCCTTAATTGAATCGTCTATACCTATATTCAAGAAGGACACTGTTTCTAGCAAGAATATGCGAGAAAACTATCCATTTGTATTTAACTCTGATTCGAGTAGCAAACATATGAGTGGTTGTGTGTCAGGTCAAAAGATAATGCTCCCGCAAAACGTGATAAAAAAAGATACCGAATTAAGTGAAGAAATTCACATACCTATTCCAGAATTACAGTCAATTAATCTTAATTACACACCTGTTCTGACATCTGCTTTAGATGATATTGGGCAGATGGCTTTCAGAGGCATTGAAAGTTTAAATCGGATACAGAGCATAGTGTTTAATGCAGCATATAATACCAATGAGAATTTATTAATTTGTGCACCAACAGGAGCTGGAAAAACTAATGTTGCTATGTTGACTGTTGTACATCAGCTGAAACAACATATTGAACAAGGTCAAATAATGAAAAATCTGTTCAAGATCATTTATGTGACACCTATGAAAGCTTTGGCAGCAGAAATGACTGCAAATTTTGGCAAAAGACTTGAATGCCTCGGTATATCGGTTCGAGAACTGACCGGAGATATGCAGCTAACGAAATCAGAGATTCAACAAACACAGATGATTGTCACTACTCCAGAAAAATGGGATGTTTTGACAAGAAAGGGTACCGGAGATGTTTCTCTCACGAGTATAGTGAAATTGTTAATTATCGATGAGGTACATTTATTACACGGTGACAGAGGACCAGTAGTTGAAGCGTTAGTTGCTCGGACATTGCGACAAGTGGAGTCTTCTCAAAGTATGATCAGAATTGTTGGACTCTCGGCAACTTTACCAAATTATTTGGACGTAGCAAGATTTTTACGGGTCAGCCCAGACGTTGGACTCTTTTATTTCGATCATCGATTCCGTCCAGTGCCATTAAGTCAGACATTTATCGGTGTGAAAGCAACCGCACCTTTACAACAGATGAATGACATGGATCGTGCGTGTTACGATAAAGTTGTAGACATGGTACGTAAAGGACATCAAGTTATGGTCTTTGTACATGCACGTAATGCTACAGTCAGGGTGGCAAATGCTCTGAAAGAGTTGGCTATGCGAAATGATACGTTACAGTTGTTCATACCCGGGAATCATGCGAAATTTATGAACAAAGCTTTCAGCAAATCATCTAACAAGCATTTAATAGAATTATTTAATAACGGATTATCGGTACACCATGCTGGTCTACTACGTTCAGAGCGAAATCTGATTGAAAAATATTTCTCTGAAGGATTAATCAAGGTGTTAGTGTGCACATCAACGTTAGCTTGGGGTGTAAATTTACCTGCGCATGCAGTTATTATAAGGGGAACGGAAATATATGATTCAAAACGTGGTTCCTTTATTGATTTAGATATATTAGACGTCTTGCAAATTTTCGGACGCGCCGGCCGACCTCAATTCGACGTTGAAGGACACGCTACCATCATTACTGCTCATAATAAATTATATCATTATCTATCATTATTAACGAATCAAATACCTATCGAAAGCAATTTCATTAAATATCTAGCGGATAATTTGAACGCTGAAATTGCGCTAGGTACAATATCTAATGTGGAAGAGGCTATAAAATGGCTGAGTTACACTTATTTATTTGTTAGAATGAAATTGAACCATCACGTTTATGGAATTCCTCATCAAGTTATCGCCGACGATCCAAATTTGGAGCGCAAGAGGAAGGAATTGATCGATATAGCAGCGAAATCATTGGATAAAGCTAAAATGATTCGGTACAACGTAAGTACCGGAGATCTTAACACAACAGATCTAGGACGTATCGCGAGTCACTTTTACCTGAAATATGATACAGTTGAAATTTTCAATGAATTGATCAAACCGATTATGACCGAAGCAGAAATACTCGCAATGATATCAAAGTCACAGGAATTCGAGCAACTGAAAGTGCGAGATGATGAAATCGACGAATTACAGGAAATGTCTGAGAACTATTGTGAAGTCGTAGCACAAGGCGGCGCGGAAAATATTTATGGTAAAGTGAATATTCTATTACAAACATATTTATCGCGCGGTCGGATCAACTCGTTCTCATTGATATCAGATCAAGCGTACATCACGCAAAACGCAGTGCGTATATGTAGAGCGTTGTTCAAAATTATGCTACGACAAAATAATGCATTAATGTCTGGCCGCTTACTGGAAATGGCGAAAATGCTGGAACTGCAACAGTGGAGTTATATGAACCCTTTATGTCAATTTTCTTGTTTACCTTTGGACATTATCGATAAACTAGAACAACATAACTTGACCATTGATAAATTGAACGATATGAATGTTAAAGAGATTGGAGATATGATACGTAATCCAAAAATGGCAGTGCTAGTGAAGAAATGTTGCGAAGAACTACCTACGCTGGAAATGGAGGCCACTTTACAGCCTATTACCCGCAGAGTTTTAAGAATACGACTGAAAATATATCCTCAGTTTCGATGGAACGACAGGGTACATGGGAAAACCTCGGAACCGTTTTGGATATGGATCGAAGATCCGGACAATAATTTTCTTTACCATCATGAGTACTTTATCTTGACGAAAAAGATGGTATGCAGTAACCTTGAACAGGAACTTGTAATGATTATCCCATTGCATGAACCATTGCCCTCGCAGTACATAGTGAAAGCGACGAGCGATCGCTGGTTAAATTGCGAGAGTATGCTACCCCTTACGTTCCATGAATTAATATTACCAGACATATATCCTCCGCATACAGATTTACTGGAATTGCAGCCCTTACCGGTGAAAGCATTAAAAGAACCGGCGTTCGAAAGACTTTATAAATTCACTCACTTCAATCCGATACAAACACAGATTTTTCATTGTTTGTATCACACTGACAACAACGTCTTACTGGGTGCTCCGACTGGATCTGGAAAAACAATTGTTGCTGAAATAGCTATGTTCCGAATATTCAAACAATATCCTACACAAAAGGTTGTATACATTGCACCCCTGAAGGCTTTAGTCAGAGAACGAATAAAGGATTGGAAAATTCGATTCGAAGAACAACTTGGAAAGAAAGTAGTGGAATTAACTGGGGACGTGTCACCGGACATTAAAGTGATAGCTAGTGCAAATATCATTGTGACTACTCCAGAAAAATGGGACGGTATCAGCAGAAGTTGGCAAACAAGAACTTACGTCAAGAATGTTGCTCTTATAATTATAGATGAGATCCATCTTTTAGGGGAAGATCGTGGTCCTGTATTGGAGGTTATCGTTTCAAGGACTAACTTTATTTCTTCCCACACTTTGAAGAAACTAAGAATCGTTGGATTGTCCACAGCATTGGCCAACGCTGTGGATTTAGCTAATTGGCTGGGCATTCGAGAAATGGGCTTATATAATTTCCGTCCCTCTGTACGACCAGTACCATTGGAAATCCATATAAACGGATTCCCTGGGAAACATTACTGTCCACGTATGGCAACAATGAATAAACCAACATTCCAAGCGATCAGACAACATTCACCGTCCAGTCCAGCTCTTGTATTCGTTTCGTCGCGTAGGCAAACGCGATTAACTGCATTAAATTTGATTGCTTACCTCGCAGCAGAGGATAATGCGAAACAGTGGCTGCATATGCCTGACGAAGAGATGAACAGTATATTGGATCATGTACGAGACTCGAATTTGAAGCTTACCCTTGCTTTTGGGATTGGACTTCATCATGCCGGTCTTCAAGATAAGGATAGAAGAATCGTAGAAGAATTGTTTGTTAATAATAGGATACAGGTATTAGAATTATTTATATTATAATACAAGTGTATAATTGAATATATACAGATTCCAAGTACACTGAAAATATTATATTTCAGGTGTTAATTACGACAGCCACCTTAGCTTGGGGTGTAAATTTTCCTGCTCACTTGGTGGTGATAAAGGGAACAGAATATTACGATGGTAAAGTGAAACGTTACGTGGACATGCCAATTACGGATGTGCTTCAGATGATGGGTCGAGCGGGTCGACCTCAATTCGATGATTCCGGAGTGGCAGTTGTCTTGGTACACGATTTGAAGAAGAACTTTTATAAAAACTTCCTGCACGAGCCGTTCCCGGTTGAATCGAGCTTACTGGCAGTGTTACCGGATCATATAAACGCGGAGATCGTGGCTGGCACAATTAAAAATAAACAAGAATTTTTGGATTACTTAACGTGGACCTATTTCTTCAGAAGACTAATGAAAAATCCGGTGTATTATGATTTGAACGCTTTGGAACCTCATATGATCAACGAGTACTTATCCTCTATGGTTGATAATACACTGAAAGTGTTGATGGATTCGCATTGCATTGACTTCGATGAGGTCTGTATTACTGAATGACAATAATCGTCCTAGTTAAATGTAAAATATAAAATAATATGATTATTACAACTATCCTGATTACAGAATGGACAAATTATATTCCCACTTTCGATGGGTAAAATAGCATCATTTTATTACTTATCGCATCACACTATGCTGATGTTTGAACAATCATTAAAGGATGCTCTGACAATGGATGAGTGTTTACATATTTTATCTAATTCTTATGAATACAATGAATTGCCTGTAAGACACAACGAAGAATTATTGAATGAGTGAGTTACCAATCTTAGAAAGAAAAATATGCGCTCAAATAATTTGAATGTATCTTATCATTTAATAGAGAACTATGCAAAATGTGCCGATATACAGTGGATAACTACTCGTATGATTCTCCAAATACTAAAGCATTCATATTACTTCAAGCGCATTTCTCAAGACTTACGCTACCATGTGCAGATTATCTCACAGATTTAAAATTAGTTCTTGATCAAGCGATTCGAATTATTCAGGTATCGTGTAATTAAACGTAATGTTTCTTATGCTTTGCAGTAACATTATAGTCTACATTTGCTTTCAGGCTATGATAGATACTGTTGCAGAACATGGATGGCTGGTATCCACGCTCGTGATAATACAGTTACTACAAATGATTATTCAAGCTCGATGGATAGATGAATCTGCGATACTTACATTGCCTCATATAAATTCCGAACATTTACAGTTATTCTCATCTTTGCCGAAAATTCTTCCTGTGTTATGCAACACTGTATATGATAAATATAATTTGCTTCTACAAGCGCTCGGCGAAGAATTCCAAGAAAATGAAATATACGAGGTGAATACAATTGAGTTTGTTCATATTATCGTTATCGTATGTCTATTAATAATTTGTTACAGATACATCAAGTGATAAGAGAAATGCCGATACTTTGTGTCAACTTGAGTTTGGAGGGTTACTGGCCTGATGGCGCTAAACAGAAACCTGTAGCACTGAGAACAGCAAATCTTATTTATATTGATGTACACAAAGATCAGGATTATATACTGAACATTCGAATGAGACGAAAAAATAAATCTAATAATTTAAGAGCGCATTGTCCTATGTACCAAAAAGGAAAGGACGAAGGCTGGTTTTTGGTGTTAGGTAGTATTCAAGACAAAGAGTTATGGGCACTGAAACGAGTCAGTGGAATAAACGATCAATGGAAATATCATCAGTTACAATTTACAGCGCCATCAAAATTAGGTATTTGTAGTTTGTTTGTTTTTTTTTAAGCAAAAGAATTACCGTTTTATGTAAAAGAAGAAACTAAATTATTTCTTTCCCTCGAAGGTCATGCAACGTTGACATTCTATTTGATGTCTGACTCTTATATAGGACTGGATCAACAATACGATGTACATATAAATGTAGTACATTAATGTTAAAGTAAGCGAGTATATGTATGCTCCAAAGACTAAACGGTAGTGTAAGTATGTACAGTTAAATTTGTTATTTTAACTAAGATTAAAATTGTTAAACACAAAAACTCGTGAGATTCATTTGACATCCAAAGATATTGCGATTGAAACGACAATAATTTTAAATATATTTTGTCAACATTTATTTTTCTAAATGTGCATACAAACTTACGTATATTTTCCTTATATAGTACACGATTATGAAACAACATAAGGATTTAAATTATTCTACTTATTTTATACAAATGGAACTAAGATACAGAAAGTAACATCTCGAGAGGATCAGTTTTACAATTTTTTTCACAGTGTACAAATAAAATGTCGCAGTAAAAAGGTTAAAAAGAATGATTAGTTTATTATAAAACAAGTTTAATAGAAAAACGTACAAGATTTGCTATTAGAATTTTATGCGGTAACATAAACATCGATAACTCATAAGAAATAAAGATATAAGTGATATATCTTAAAATATCTTACACTCTGATCCTTCTTTACGCTCATAGCATAACATTTTGTGGCAGTACATTTATATTATTCTTTTCTTTAACACGTTCGCTCCTATCGTAAGGTTATAAAATCAATCGTGGCATCATGAATATGACGTTTATAGCAGCGAACGTGTTAACATCCTATTCTAACGAAAAACAACAAGAAATTGTAGGGCAGGAAGGATTTGAGATCATTTCATTGCTTTGTTTCAAAGAGAACATACTTAAGTTGCAATCTGCATATTCGTAATAACTGTTCTGTTTGATAATCAATGCAGACTGTTCAAGCTAAAGATGTAGAAGAGATATATTTCAAACTTAGCTCTTTAGTTTTTTAACTATATCCCTGAGACACATAATGCATATAAAAACACAAGAATATATATAAAAATAAAGGACATCTTTTATTTATTTTCCTCTTTAATATTCGTTAATCCATGAAACATAAATATATTGCAAATGTTGCTAAACCAACATTTTTTCTCAGATTTTATAAAATAAATAATTTCACGCTAGTAGTACGTTTTCACAACACAAGGAATTCGTGTAATAAACACTATTGTATAGACCTACGTTACGTTCAGACTATAATCTATAAATACACGTTACGGTGCTCTAGAAAAGAAAATACTACCTTTTAAATTATTCTTCCAGCTAATAGTTTTAACAGTTCGAATTTATAATATATATTTTTCTCGTTAAAATTGTCAAAAGAAATATATTAACACCATTAAGTATTAATTTGTTAGTGATCTCTCCTTCATCGATAGATTGAACTCTGTACTTCTTTTGTACTTTCATGACACACTTTATATTACTCTTATTTGCACAATTATATAGGTAGTAATAATCAAAGCAAAGAAATACTTAAGCTCCTTCCATAATTATAATCTGGAAGTACTGATTATTCCTTGTAAGTAATACACCGAAATGCGTTCACATAAAACACTTTGTAATAATATATTTCTATTCATGACATTTATTGCAAAAACGAATGTATCCTTTCATTAAAAGCTAAGGAAATTTAATACGAGAAATTTTTACTCGATTTCATTTTTATCATTTTCCATGCGTATAAAAGAAAAAAGGAAATGCTTAAAAAAAACTGTCGATTAATGCATTTGATGCTCGATAGATTATTACTGTCGTTTTTTTTAGTACTTTCTTTTCCCGTGTAAATTTCTTGACTGGTAATAATAATCTTGAAGGTGTAAATCTTATCACTCGAGAACTAAGGAAGCACTGGCATAACTAACAGAACTGTCATTCATGTTATTGCATTGATTGCTTTGAGTATACTTTAAAAACTTCAGGTTCATTCTTTGGCCATTGGTATTCCCTTTTAAACTGTGAATCGCCTGTTAATATAGCAGTTACAAATTTATTAAAAATGTTTATTAAGTTAAATAAAATATATCGGGAATATAACTGGACTCCATTTATGGATTTGAATGAATAAAAATAATTACCTGCAATAAAACGCTGATAGGATGACGACCACATATAGTGTTACCGTATTTTTTAAGGTAATCGGTAAATACTGTAGGATTTAAATTTTCTATAATATCCATACCCTACAATACAAAGTAATGGAAATATAATACAGAAATCTACAAATAATCATTTTATACCTAGACAACACGAACAATATTATATACCATTTTATCGAGATTTTGAATAGATCTATGAATAGGACCACATGATCTATTGTAGTATGTATAACGGAAACGCTGTCCCCAGTGACAGAAATCCGAAGAAATAACAAATAACGTTTGTGGGTCAGCCATGTATGGCGCTAATAATCTTCCATAAAGTGCCTCTCTTTCTGGACTTAATGATCCGACGAGTATAGGAATTATAGTGAAAGAATCTTTAAACCTATATTTACAGAAAATGATAGATTAATTTTACATTACACGAATAAAGGGATTATAAATATAATTACCGTACCCTTCCATGACTTTTGCTATGAACGGTAATTGCATTTCAATGCTGTGTTCCTCCTCATCCGTATTTAAATCCATCCATTCAAAATGTCTAGTTTCCTCAAGTTCTCTGCATACTATCATATGAACAGAAACCTATATTTGAACTAATCTTTGATAGTAATTCATATTTGCATATTGTCTTTTAACATTATAATTTTTATGCATTAAGATTTCATAGAAAATCTACTTTAGTATTCTGTAACATGCAATTTGTACCTTGTTGATCAATATGTAGATCATACAATGGTGTTTGATAAATCGAAGCAGAAGAAAGAGCACAGCCTGTTAATCTCACATGATGTGATGGACCCAGAATAAATATCCTACGACTATATAATGATAAATTACATATACAATACATTATTTTAAATTTATATAATATATTGTTACAAACGCATATTAATTTAATAGTGCATTGTTGCTTAAGAAGTGTTAATTTTAAGTTTTCATTAATTTTTTGTCTTTGAAATGAAATAAATAAAAATTCTTATCATCGCTACTTACATTTCCTAATGCAATATTCTATTTATGTTTTGACTCTTTTTTTTCCTTCTTTTAATGAAAAATAAATATAACATAATTACGTAACATAATACTAAAAAGATAAGTTATAAAACCGACTAAAATTTAGATTAATTCATTTAAAAACTTACACAACAACAGGACTAATCTGGCGATATGCAAAACCAGCACATGCTCCACAATAGTTGTAACCTGCATGTCTGTGAAATTTTGTTCGTTAAGATTTGTTAATTTACGAAGGATTACTTAATGTGCTATAATTACTGACGGGGCAATAATTGCCCTAGCAGGTCCATGTGATAAGTCTGCTGCACCCAACCAACCTTCTAATTGCTTATTTAACTCGGAACCTGCACAAAACATTTATATTAAAGCATATGCAATTCTAATGACGATTAATATAAAAATTAATAAATTAAACAGCAAGTTGATAAGTTAATTAAATAAGCTGTAATTAAATAAATAAGAATTTTTACTAATTAAAGTAATATAAATTTATGTTAGGTTGAATCCAGTACATACAGAAAGCATGTAATACTTTATACAATAATTAATGAAGTGTAACCTAAAAGTGACAAACAATATCACAAACGTTAGTAATTTTAATTATTAATTTATAGAAATGTACATTACTATAGTAGGAAAATATTGTATGCACGTATACCCCTATTGTGTACTGTTATAAATATTTGTTTGATGTGTAAACATTGACGTTATATATCGATGACTTTGCACGAAAAAAAAAATTATAATACATAACCACAGCTGTATGGTAATTAATAAGTATAAGACATTACGCGAAATATTAAATAAATTAAAAATATGTTTTAAATAATGCTTACCAGAGCCTGCGTACCAACTACCAGCATGAGTTGCTCTTCTAATTAATGCCATTTTTCGTCTTGTTGAACAAATCCTTAATTATTCTAGTAATTTCTTCAAGTAAACGATACTCTTTTATTAATGATTATACAAACAATCTATATGTAGCACAATTATTAAATCCTATTTAAATACAGAATGTTTATAAAATTCTATCACAAAACTTTTTATTTAACCATGAACTATACACTTCTAATAGAGTCGAATGATATGATTGTAATCGTATCAAAATGTGATTTAGTATTATTTTTATATCTAAAGGCAGTATGAGAGGAATTCATATTATAGAAGTTTATATTCTTTAATTATAAACATTGTAAAAGATTTTTTACGTTAGTACTTCTAAACATACAGAGTTGGAATAATTTGAAATTGTAATGAAAATATCAATGAATAATTAAATACATATATATATATATAATTTAATTTTAAATAAACCGATTGTAATCCAATTGGAAATAACATTTATCTGTGTTTATCAATTAATTTACAAGTTGCATTTGCAATTAATGTTACTAGGGATTTCAGTACATCGAAATTATAAATAATTGATTAGAGTGTTTATATGATAATATTTACTGATATTTTTAACTGGTTTTCTATTAAAAAATAAATTTAACATGAAAATTTATGCTGTAACGTAAGAGTAGTGGCCTAATAATCCCTATGATTTTGTGCATCGGATTGGACCACGCTCTATTTTGAAATTCCAACCAATTATTCTAAGATACAACAATAAATGTTTTTTTAACAAATATAATAAAACGAATAAACGTAAGTAATAAAATTCTTCTGTATCAATAAGATAACATTAAAGATGATACAAATGTTCTCGAAATATAGCATTCTAGAGAAAAGAATTAACAATATAATAGTCATATTAGAGATTAAAAATCGTTCGTTTTTTATAAAAAACGCTGTAACATGTTGGCTTAACTCGAATAAAATAATTATTAAATTAATTATCACTATTTTCATTGACAGTTTGCACTCTGTTAGAAGTTTTGTACGTTTCGGTACTTAATTTGATCAGAATCGTAGAAATGGTTAATATGGTAGAAATTCGTGTCTCTAGTGTTGTTTAAGTTTGTGAAACTGATTGACAAAACAGAAGTTTATTTGTTAAGAGTATTATAATGTGCATAAAAGTTTATTTTTCGGGACGTGTCAATGTGAAAATCTTCGCTAA